ACTCATACCCTCATTCTGTTTCGCCCTGTAATTTTCATCAGCTATTCTTTAAGTATATTTAATTTTTGTGATGATAAAAGAACTTTTTAGCCCCCTACGATCAGAGCTTAAAATGGGTCGGAGCCCATCGGATATCGGCTCCGGTGCTTCTTAGTTTTTGTAATAAATCATAACTCTAGCCGGAACGCACCGGAGCCCTGAATAAGAAGGCTGCGGCACTTCTTTTATGTAACTGAATAACAATTTCAGTAGAAATTTTATCTCAAAAATTTTATTTAACAATAAAATTATATTAAAAATCGCTATTAAATTCAATTTCTCTTTCCATTTTATTTAAATTTAATTATTTAATTACTTCAATCTTTATTATTTCAATAAAAAATAATTAATTACCTTATAATTATGAATTAAATTATAATTAATTATATAATAATTATTGGTTAAATAACAATTTATAAACATTAATTAATTTGATAACAATTAACTATTGAATTTTAAAATTATTAATGAGTTTAATAGTCATTTTATTATTTACCCTTGTTCCTCTTTGCTGACGGTCTCTCAGAGGGCTCTGGCACTTCTAATCTTAGAAATTAAGCCCTGATCATCAGAATCAAAATGTAATTATGGAACAAATGTAAGATATATAAATTAACAGTAACAAGGCATGCTACTGAGGATAAAATGGAAAATAAATATTGTTACGAAATGTACAGGCGTGTTAAGATGGCTTCCCCGCAAAGCAGTTTTAGGGGTACCATAAAATAGCAGGGAAGGCAGGGTTGCCACATTTAGCTAGAAATAGCCCATTTGGCGACAAAATTGGCGCTATACATGGACGGTTGGAGAACCTTCTGGAACGAATTCTTACCGGTTTAGCCCAGAATGTTCTCGAACACAAGCCGAAAGCTATATAAATTCTGCTGGTCCGCAGTCAGTTAGAGTGTGCCTCATCTAGTTAGTCCGTGCGGAGACGATCAAGTTGAAAACCGGTCAGCGAGTGCCAAGTGGGTCGTCGAGTGCACTGAAAGAGTCTCGTAGAATATCGCTGTTAGTGCATCGTCGAGAGAGCGTGTTGAGCTCCGGAAACGACTGAACCGAAGAGTCAGGAGCTGTGCTCTGCATGTTGTCGAGTGCATTGCGAGTTGTGACGTGGAGAGTCTCGAGAGTACGTGGAGTTTCGAGAATTCCACGTACTGTCACCACGCTCGTCATGTCCACGCTCGTCATCTTGACAACAAAGTACATGGAGTTCGAGAACTCCACGTACTTTGTTGTCAAGATGACGAGCAGAGTCGGAAGCTGTACTCTGGTGCTTTGTAGTGAAGCTGTCTCCACCGTGATAGCCTGATAACCTCGAGGTTGTGTCGCTGGTCGTGTCAGCGTGTTAATAGTAGATCTTCGACGACTGTAAAAGTGTTTTGGAGCTGTCCTGATTAATATTGACTAAATAAAGTGTGTTTCGATACTTCATCAAGTGTCGTCGTTATTCACTCCAAATCCACACGAACCCCGTACGAACGTGAAGGAAGAAAATAAGTAACAACAGGTGTCAGAAAAAAAAAATGCAACAATATTTTTAACAGCATTCTTCTCCGTCAGATAAAATCCCTACCTTATTTTGGCTTTTAATCTATTGAAAGCCTTCTTTCACCAGATGAGTATAATCCATAAAATTCATTCTGCCTGTTAAAATTTTCTCGCACTTCCTACGGAAAATGAGACATATATTCATTATGTATTAAGCAATTTTATTTTTATTAGCCATCAGTAAACACTCTTTTTAGTCCAAAGGGGCTTTGTCCCTGAAGGACTTTTGTTTTCGTTTCGCGATTTTGCGTTGAATCACTATAAATGTCAGTTTCACTTTTCAAGCTGTTGCCAGCAAATGTTAGAGTCCTGCATTATATTATTTGAAGAAATTAAATAATGACACATCTGCGTAAATGTATGTATATTTCTCGAATTGTGATAAAATAACGGTACATAGAGCCATCGAATTTTAAATGACGTAATCCTACTGCGAATATGGGCGTGTGGAAGCCGAAATTTGGAATTTGTTTTATTATCTATATCATGTTTTGTAAAACTTTAGCGAATTTTTTATTAACAAACTCAAGAATTTCAAAGCGAGCAATGGCAACGTTGTACAGAAGAAACATTTTTATCTCCAGCGCGCGAGTCTTTGTATCAGAAATTCTAAAGATATGCTCATTTTAAAACTATTTTGCGATATTGCTGTTGAACTGAATTTTATGGTTTAATTGCGAAGAACGTGATACTTAATAAATAAATGTAATACATGAATGTTAAAAAAACGCCCCTTTGGACGTAATTTAAAATCTGAAACCTTTTAGATTTTTTATTTGTTTATTATTTTACTTAAACATGAAGAACAGATAATATCGCCTAGAAGTATACTTTCTGAAATGAAAATGCTTTTAGGCATTAATTCATAAGTACTTTTATAAGTTATTTATAAAAAAGATGGTGGTATATAAAATATATTAGAACTGAGGTAAGGAACTATATTTTACCTGAAAGAAATCTGTTGTAGGAAACAAAAAGCTGCCTTTTATCAGAAAAGACGAACTATTTGTCATCGAAGCAATTACTAGGTATGGTAATTACCATTGTGATTTTACACAAGCTTTCAACATAGCATCCCTATAATTAATCCACTGTACATAAAAACAAAGGTAGCTTATATTAAAATACAAATAATAAGGTTAAAAATATTGGAAGATGAATGTTTGCTCCACCTATTTGTCTTCTTTTTTACCATTACTTTATTTAAGCTTCCATGATCTATAAAATTAGGAACACATTCATGTTCATTCATGTTCCTCTTGGTAATGTTTTTCTTTTGTGCAAAGATGGAATGGTTGCTCAAGATTGATGCTCTTCTTGGTGTGTAATGTCAAATACGTCGACGAGCTTGCTTTTGTGTTTTTTCGAATATTTATAGTTTCGAATTGTGTTATTTCGAATTTTTCGAATGTTAATACAAGGTACCATGATAAAACGTATACTGCAATTTCGTGCGCAAATTATCTTTCAGGCAAAGAGTGTCTTGGTTTTGGTTTTCTGATAAAAATCGAGGTATTTTGCAATAGTTTTAAACCTTTTTCTAACTGTGCGTAGTTAGCGTAATAAGAACGAGAGATGCGTTTATTAGTGATAGCGTTTAATTACTTATTCTTAAAAAGAAAACAAACAGTTATTACAGAGAGTACATTTTGTAAGGAAGAATTCTTCGAGTCCTGGAATATACCAATTGCCAATTATCAAAAATTTAAACTTTTACATTATTTTCATTTTGACAAATTTTACATCTAACAGATATAAACATGTAGAGTAATTAGGATTTTTTTGGAAGTAGGAAAGATGAAAAATGAGCAATGCCCTCGCCGGAAATCCAACCACGGACCTCTCGAATACGCGTCGAGCGTGCTGACCACTACACCACGAAGGCATAATAAGAAAGCGGGAGAAATACCTTATATACTCCTCCTTTTAAATGAGGACTGGTCATTAGGGGACCCAATCGCCAAATCCTAGTGTTGGAGAATTATTATCCGCCACCCTTTTAGTTAGGGTGCCACTGTAAAGACATTAGGTTATTTCGAGACAGGAAAGATAAAAATGAGCAATGCCCTCGCGGGACTCAAACCACGGACCTCTCGAATACGCGCTGAGCGTGCCGCCCATTGCACTACGAAGGCATGCTAAGAAGGCGGGAGAAATACCTTATAAACATAGTAAATCCATAACAACAAACAGGGGCGTAGCTAGAGGGGGGGCATCTGTCCCCGGGCGCAGAATCCAAGGGGCGCCAAACTGATGTTACGACATTTTAGAATTAAATGTTTTCCATCCTTGGCAAGCAGTAGGGGGCGCGAAATCTTCAGTTGTCCCTGGGCGCTGAAAACCCTAGCTACGACTCTGAAAACAAAATGCGACGGGAAAAAGCTCCGTCGGCCAAAAATGTGGGTAAGAATAATGAATTCTTGAATTTCAGTAATGCAAAAGTGTTGTGTTTGTTAAACGCTTTAAACATAATCCGCATTCGAAATCTTGCTTCAGTACCTTGTGTTCTCTTTGTATTATCTACATAACAGATTTTTCTGTTAATATTGTGATTCAAATGATTCTACATTAACTCAAATATTTTTTATTAGAAAAATAATATCTTGTTCCAAAGTTTCGATTACTAGAACTTCAAATTTGAAGCATTTAGCCTACACTGTATATAGTGAAAATGAATAATGATATTTTTTAATTCGTTTATTAAATGAATATAAAAATCTGTAGTGAAAGTATTTAAGTCTGTCACAACTTATTTGTTGTCAAGATGACTTGAATTTAAAAATGAATGTTCTGTAACATTCATTACTTTTCTTAATTGATTATTAAACTGTGAATTTTAAAATTATTCTTGAATTGAATGTTTTAGTTATTAAATAGTAAAGAAAAAATATTGTTAAGTATGCCTTAAAAATAATAATAATTTAGTAATAAATAATTTATAAAGTAAATAATATATAAGTGATAAAATAAAATCATATAATTTTTCAAAATATGAATAATTATAAATAAATATTAATATCAATTAAAAAAGTATTAAACGGTGACACCGCTTATGCGTCATCTATCGTTTACCCTGTTCTTAGGTTTAGGATTTTTTTCTCTTCCCCGTGTTTGGTTTATGATTATAATTTTCATTTATCAAAGTGCTACAGTTTCCATCGCCACAAAATGAGTAATCGCTTGTTAAAAAAATTATTTTAAACTGCAACTGTTTTCAAGTCACTAAGCATATATGCTTATAATATACGCACTATAACTCCGTGATTTATACGTTTGACCGAGCGGAAAGTTTGCCTGATAAAATGTAGGTCTAATAAAAGTTTTCACAAATTCCTGTAGATGGCACCACAAGCTATTTTAAGCAATCACGTTAGCTCACAAAACATATGAAGGCCTTAACATAAAGTATCCTAATCCAGAACATTAAAGAAAGTTCTAAATTATTTTATTCTTCTTAATATTTATTGAAAGTTTCGTAATATGGACCGTGGGCAGTTTCTTATGCGATGATCTATATTCGAGATACTTTTTCATTCGTTTTTAATCTCAGGAAATGAAGTGAAGAAGCGAAATTTACTCTTGTTTGTTTATATAATTTGTAAGGCGGTCTTTATAAAGGTAATGTAACCATTGTGCGACGATGAAAATAGCAACCTGGAATATCAATGGAATTAGATCATTGAAGAAAAGCATAGCTTGTGTACTCAATGATTTATCCAGTGATGTAGTGTGTTTCCAAGAAACGAAAGTATCTCGTAAGATCGTTGGAAATATTTTCACTTTATTTTAGATATTTATAGCTTCTTCGGCAGCATTAATGCATTCTTAGTTTAATTATTTCGTAAAAATTTAATTTAACTATATATATATATTGCTGCGCATATAAATAATTTAACAAGTGTAATGGTATTTCTGCCTTTCTTTTAAAACTTCCTTAATTTAAGGCAAAAGTGCTGCAAATTATTGTTAAAATCTGATGTACATTCTGACTTTTTCTGATAAATTCTTCTATTTTCAGGAGGTCAGTTACAAGAAAACACTGCTCTCATAAACGGCTATACATCTTATTTCAGTTATCCTAGAAAGCAGAGTGGCTACTCAGGAGTGGCCACATATTGCAGTGATAGTTTTACCCCTGAAGATGCTCAAGAAGGGTTGTCTGGGGTTCTTGCATCTGGAAACTGTGATTGTTTGCAGAGCTTCTCGTCTGATTTTGAACCTTCTTTGAGTGATCTGACAGAGTTAGAGTCTGAGGGAAGAGTAATTATCACTTATCATCTTATTAAGTAAGATTTATTGCATTGTTAATTTGTACATCAGAAAATGTATGGATATTTTGTTTTTTATCATTATGTGTGCAAAGACAATGAATTTAATGTCAAAGTATGGCAGCAAATGTTAAGCTTTTTATTTGTTACTGCTGCTCAGGGTTTAATCCTAGTATCCTGTGCACACAGGATTTGGGGACTTTATTAAAACAAGATTATTTGGACAGGTGACAAGTTAATTAAACTATCATAAAAATTTGCTTCAAGGTATCATTTAAAAATATAGCCAAAATGGTATTAAACCCCTAACAAGAATATATTAAGAACAAGAATCTTGCATGAACTCTTCCCCTGCCTAAACTTGAAATTTAATGTATGCTATTATAATATATCTCAGTTTTACAGGGAAAATGTTTATGAAACTGAAATGTTCATGAATGAATTTGCAATTAAAAAAGTTTGGTTTGGTTTATTTAATTATGGCAAAACACACTAGGGCTATCTGCCTAAGGGGAGGGATGCCTTTGTGGAGGACTTTCTAAGGGAACTGGCTTGTATACACGTGCAATTAAAAAGGCTATAAACTTTTGAGAACTAGTGTCATAGTCTGAAAAAAAGTGTATAGCTTCTAAAAAAGAGAGACCATTGTAAATTGAATCAGTATTAACATCTTGCTTTAACCCTTTGATGCGCGGTGGTCGTGCCTTGAAACCACCAATTTTCGAATTTTTTTCTCCTCTTCTTTCCGAAATTTTTGAGTGAATATCAATTGATTACTGATCTTTTACCTCTAAAAAACACAGAATAACTGCAGAATCATACATGTTTTAGGTGTTAGTACTTCGTGTTTTAGTTGTTAGTACTAAATCAGATGCCTTTTAAAATTCGTTTTCAATAAGACAAAATAAAATTCCTTTTATTAATATAAACAACTTTAAATTTCAAAAGTTATTCATCACACATCATGATTTCTATCATAAACAATAAAAAATAACTAATTAAACTGCATATATAAATAAAACCTCTATATGCATGGCATTTGCTTTGTGGTTTCAGGGCACCACCACTGCCCCACTAGAGCATTGTGTCACAATGCTCTAGAGGCTTTGTGGTTGCTCCTTGAAATCACTGCTCTTCACAATGGCATTTGCTTGCTTATCAAACAGGAATGTTTATTTTTACCTGAATATAGATAAGGGGTTTTGAGTTATTTTATTACTAAACAATACATGCACCTGCCCAGTGAAAAGGTCTTTCTTTTCTAAAGACTTTTCTCTGAGCTCAACACACTTGCTCCCCAAGCTAGTATTGTGATTTTTATAAATTATTTCCTGTGGTTTAAATTTAATGAAAATATACTTAAAAACAAAAATTAAAATTAAAATTATGTAATTAAAAATAGAAATTGCATAATGTTTTAATTAAATTTAAAATATTTTCTGAATATTTTGGGATGAATTACGAATAAAATACGTATGAATGGGAAACAAACGATCCATACCAAGGCCAAAAAGACCAACCTCTCCCCCCCATTAACATAAAAAACCACAAATTTCATGTGCCAGATGAAAAAAAAACTAAATAACGCTGGACATATATCAGTGAAATTTAGATCCAGGCATTGTACATTTTGTAGCATAAGAAAGAAACCTCATAGAAGATTCATGTGTGAAACATGCGATGTGGGTCTATGCATGTACCAAAAAGACAAAACATGCTTTGAACAAACAGTGTCACAAAAAAAATTTTTTCTTTTAAATTGAAAAAAAAAAAAAAAAAAAAACACCAAGTCTTTTTTTATTCTTATTTTTCTGAGTTTTTAAATCCATTTAGACAAACGTCCTTATTATGTAGGTACTTATATTTTCACTGCTATAGAAAAATTACATAAATGCTTACTTTTTATTTTTTTTTCTGATGATTTACTTTGTAAAATAATGTAAAAAAAAATTATATATAATGCAATTCTTACATACATTTTTTAAAAAATTCGTAAATTTTGTCATTTATTGGAAACACGCACGGAGAAAGGTAAGTTTTTTTTTCCCCCCTACTACCTCAATAAGTTGGGGAGGTAATGTTACCCACGTCTGTGATTATCCTTAAGTCACAAGTGCCCCCCTGGGTGGTGCTAAGTGGGTAACTGCCACAAAGTCCTGTGGCATACCGGGGTTTAGCGGGATTAGGTTCGGTCTGATGATGAATAATCTTATAACGACCCAACAGACCGCTCCTCCCTGGGAAAACCGGTGATTGTAAGGAGGAGGATCTGAAATTCTGAGGACCTTTGATCTGAAGAGGAGGGATCTTGGAGAAAGCAGCCACGTAGAGGATACAGGAGAAAAACTGAGTTTTGCGTCTCAGGCCGTCAGATAGTACAGGAGCCCGGGACAACCTAACCAGCATGTTCTGACTGCTCTGTCAGCTGGTGTATAATCTCACCTGCCTTGTAGTTCCAGGTGGTGCCTGGGTGGGGTCCTGCTTGGCAGAGGGGGAGGGCTCTTCCGAGGTCACTGCTGGCTGCTGAATCCGGGGCTAGCCTCTCCAAACTGGCTGTTATAAAATCAGAAGGAATTTTTCTCCCCTTTTCTTCAATCAAATACCAAAATGGATGTTAGGAATATAGAATCAGATAAAAACACATCCTCTGAAACCTCCACTTTAACCATTGTAGCTCCTTCTGAGGGAGTGAATGCGCTCTTGGGTGCGGACGCTCTTCTCTTTAAGAATACAAAAACCAGAACTGCTGGTGAAGGGGTGAATGTGCCTTTGGACATGGACGCTTGAACCCGGTGGGGATGGATACCAACTCCTCTTTCAGAACTGCTATGGTAGATGCGCAAGCAGATAACCAGTCACCAATGACGGAGGTTGTAAATAAAAGAAAAGAAAAGAGAAAACGCCAGAAGGAGCAGAGAGGGCCATGGAAGGGAGCGAGGGAGAAAACAGATAAACCTTGGACCTCTGGAGCAACCTCCAAACTGCTAAAGGAGAGCCTTCCAAGCAATGAAGATTCTCCTAAAAGAGAATGCATTGCTGGTGACACCCCGGAAATGGCCTTCAAGAAACCACGGCTTTATAGTCAAGCTAAGAGGAAGGCAATTACTCTGCGGGTCGTCTGCAAGGATGACTCCAGAGACATGACATCAGTGGATTCAGATTTCATCACTTCTGTGATTGATGACCAAAATATCGACGGCTCCATAACCACCTGTAGGGTTCACAAGACAGTCCTGCAGCCGAATGGACTCAACATTGCGTGTGAGGACCAGGAGACTGTGGTTGTCCTAAAGACCCTAATCAATGATCTGGCCCTGAAGAAAACCATCCCAGTTATCACAGCATGGCTCCTGGGGACAGACCCCCGATGAAGAGGTTTTTCACTTGGTTTCCTGGTAACAGGTCACCAAAAGATAACATCAAGGTCCTTGATGCCTGTAACAAGGGCCTGGATGTTAAGAAGATCACCATCAAGGCAGTCATCCCTGGAAACGGAGGTAACACACTGCTGGGAGTGAAACCTGAACTCATGGATTACCTGGAGGCTCAGAATTTCAAACTTGTTTTGTGGCGCCATGGCTCTATACTACTAAAGGAACCGAGACAGCAGGGGAAGATCGGAAAGGAGTCAGAACCAGAGCCTTCTTTGGAGGCTCTGGGGAAGACCTCTGAATAAGTTTCCCCTGTCATGACTTCTAGAGAAGTCATGGGTTAAGGAGGCGACTTTTAGTCTAAAATCCTTCAGGGTAAGTTCTTATTTATCATTTAACCTGTTTTTTAATGGTTAAGGTTAGTCAGCTAAACCTGCAACATAGCAGAGCAGCTTCATACAATTTAGCTGCTCAATTAGGTAAACAATGCACTTTTGTTGCCTTAATTCAAGAAACAAGGGTAAAATCTTTGGTAGGCCCATGAACGCACACTTCTTTTTGTCAGAAGGGATCTAATAAAAGACCTAGAACTAGCATTTACATTTCTAAAAATATAAAGGCTATGAAATTATCTCAATTTACATCAGAGGACGTGAGTGCTATTTTAATCTAGGACATAAACAGTTTATTAAGAGAAAACATTTGTTTCTGCTCGGTTTACATGGCTTAAGACCTTAACATTCCACAAGAATTTATAGATCTTGTGAGTTTCTGTGAAATAAACAATATTCCTATGGTTATTGGTGGTGATGTTAACGCTCACCACCTATCATGGGGCAGTTCTGATATTAATCCTAGAGAAGAAAAACTCATGGAACTTATAATGAATACCAACCTAACTTGGGTAAACAGGGGAAATTGTCTCACCTTTGTCAACTGAAGAAGAGGTCATTGACCTCACACTAACGTCTGATATTTATAACCTTATTGAGAATTGTCATGTAAGTGACAATCCCTCACTTTCAGACCATCGCCTTATACAATTTTGTAGTTTAGAGATGAAATTCCAGCTGAATTTTCAGAAACATTAAAAACACAAGTTGGGACCTTTATAAGGACTCCCTGGTTTCTAATGTCATTAACCTTCAGGTTTTAGACAATAATTGTTTATTCGAGGAGCTTGCTACTCAAGCAAACAACCTGACAAATATCATTATTGAATCTTATCCTGCATCTTGTCATCTCAAACAAAGGAAGTACTCTTCTAGCAAGAGAGTCTGGTGGACCAATGAGCTTGAAAGCCTCCGCCTAGAGGTTCGGAGAGCTCACAGAAAAGCAGTCAGAAATAAGTCTGAAGTTAACTGGTCTAACTTTAAAATCCTACAAAGGAAATTTAAAAGTGAAATCAGGAAAACTAAATACAACTCATGGAGATCCTTCTCCACAGATATTCTGTCCTACCATGAGACTGCCAGAGTACTTAAAATTCTCAAGAGGTCTCAGGAATCTCAACTCTCATCGGTTATGCGACCAGATGGCAGTTTTATTATAAACTTTTTGGATATGTTTTTGACCATGTTGAATTTTCATCTGGGGGATATAAGTGTAACCTCTGACCCCCGAAAAAACCTATCAGAACTTCTTCAT